TTAATAATTATGCAATAATTATAATCATTTATGCAATTCAGTAAGAGGATTATGTTTCTTAACACTCCAGAATGATTTGAGAATACACATAGCGGCTAAAAATAGAATTATTCTATTTTGTCAGCTAGGTCTGAAAACCTGTGGCATAAAAATTCAAGCGGAGTTATAACAATGTTCCATTATTTTCTGGTAGATATTTGATAGATGTATGCTAAATAAAATTTAATAAAGCCTTTAGTTAAAAATGTGACGTTCTAATGCAAATGTATAGAAAGTGCGTTGTTTCTAGCCGTTTTTCTTTTTAAATGCAAACGGCATACGACGACCACAGGGTCAGCAACCTGGAACTTTCCTTCTGTGGTTCAACAATTTCACAACTTGACTATTCCGTGCGATTGTTGTGAGTCTTATAAACCTAATATAATTTATAAAATGAAACTTCCAATAGTCTAATTTTTACAGGTCTGTTTCTTATAAAACATACCATATAATACCTTTTCAAAGAGAATCGCTGTTTTTTGTAAACTAATTCTATTCGTTGTTACATGGAGCTATTTGTTACATTATAAGTAAAGTAGATTTAAAATTTTGAAGAAATTCCTGTCTGAGTAACCCCCATAACTTTTTATATGGATTGCTGCAATATATCGTGTTCTTTGTGACTATGGTAGTACAAATAGATAAATAGATTGCGGAGGAAATATCTTGTTTTGTATGCATAGAGATGTTGCAATAGTATCGATATATATCGATATTTTTCTTTCGATATCGCCCAATATCATATTGGAACAAACGATTATACTTAATTAGGCCTGATTATACTATAGTTTTTGCCTTCACATCAATCAAGAGAAGACTACTTCTAAAATTATTTCACAATTTGTGAAGAGGTAAGAAGAAACTGGGAATAAACTAAAATAAATTGATAATAAATTCGGCTTCAAGGTGGAATGTGTAGTTTTTAATTAAAGAAATCTTTTTTTTTTTTTCTCCCCAACTTTGATCTCCACGATAATAATCATCTTTTTTTCACTTTTCCAAAATCATTATTTATCTAACATTAACTTCATGGACATGTTCGATCCCTTGTGTTACCCAAATGCAAGGCCAAGACGAGTCTTGGTCTTGCACAAGAGTCGCGCAACAGTCTTGCAGTTACCTATTAGCCTATTATTATAGAGATATTACTGTAATTTTTCAGATAGAGGAAACCTAACTAAGCCCGAATGAAAAATTTAAAGAGTTAAATGCATAAATATATTGGTTATACCGATTCTTTACATATATTAATTAAAATTGTCCAGTATTAGTAACTATTTTGCCTAAATTTTTATTCACAAAAACAATTTTTTTTTTTTAATTGTCTTCGTCTTGGTCGTGCAACAGTCAAGGCGGTCTTGGTCTTGCAAATAGCCCTGGAGCCAGGGCCCAAAAATACCTGTTCTCACATTTTTCACAATGGATTTCCCGTTTCGATCCTCAAATATTCTTTAAATCGGCCTAACATTCTTTAAATCAGCCGCCATTTTTGAAAGCAGCGGCTCTGGAATGGTAGACTAGGTTCTTTTTACTCAGATTAACATACACTTTCGTAATTTACAACCAAACCTTCGCCTGCGATCAGGTCGATTTTTGGACCCTGGCTCCATGGCTAAGAGTTCTTGCAAAAATGAAAAAATGGTTAAGATAGACAAATGAAAAAATTTATTATTATTATCATTGTTATTTTTTTTCCTTACATTAAACTCAATCATGTTTTATACTTAATAAGTTTATCATGCTGTTAAAACTTGGGATCTCCATCGTTGGACGCCGGAAACTTCAACTGACCTCAAGACTTCCGTAAGAGTGATGCAATCCGGATCTAGGTACAACAATAGTTCGGTTCCCAGAGCTACTCCTCCAATTTTAAAATACCTTCTGGAACATTCTTCGAGTTTCCGTTTTGATCAATGATTAAATTTATATTCCTTATCTTTTGGGGATTTCCTATTACTTCATACGAATCACATTGCGAATTCAGAATATTACAGTGAAACTCAGTTAATACGAAGTTCTATAAACAACATAGTTTAGCTGCTCAGTTTAGAATGTTTTCTTAAATTGTTTGAGTTAGCTTCTCAAACCCACATAATTCTTTCATTTATTTTAGTTAAAATCTAAATATACATATCAGCTATTCTGTTTCTTACTTAATTGCTAATAAAACATCTGATTATTATTTTGATTATTTATCTGATTATAATTTTCTTACGTTATGACTTTCACTACCAGTCCAGCAAAATTAACTTGACTCTAAAAGAGCTAGTAATGGAAAATTCTGGTGTAATTGTTTTCAGTAGCTTAGAAACTGATTTTTTTTGGGATCCTAAACATGAATTTGAAATCGTTCACCAATTTTTTTTCCGGTAAATGTGATCAATTTTCAAAATACACACAGTCAGAAGTTCCTTTCTTTCTTTTTTTTTTTTTTTATTAAATGTATAATAAGCGTTTCGTGCAAAACGTGGCCCGATATTAAAATAAAGATGAGAAAGTTATCTACAATACTTGTTGTTATCGTTTTTTTCGAAAAACTTATAGTTTCTTTCCAAAAAAGGCGTCGAACAATTAGTGGAAATCAGTCATTTTTATAAAATAACAAAACACTTCTTAAACAGTCTTTTAAATTATCAAGGTAGGTATTAATATTATATTAATAGTTATATATTTTATTGTTACCTTAAAAAAAATTAGCTGAAGATTAAAAAAAAATTGTTTTTTTTGCAATTTTTTAAAAAATTACTGATTTTCACCAACTTTTTGACATCCCGTTGCGCGGAAATCATAAGTCGTTTCCCATATCGAAGCACAATTTGTCTATTCAAAATTTAATGAAACTAAACTACAGGATATTAGGATTCAGTGGATCACCTTAATTCGTCATTTCGTACTCATTGTCATACAGGTCGTACTCAAAACAATAGGAATTGCTCCTTTAATTTTCATTTTTGATAAATATGAATTCCCTTCCGGTACTAATTGTCTCCACCTCTAGAGTTCAATAGAATTTCGATGAAAATGTTTTAAAAAATTTTTAAATAAAAGGTCAAAGGAATTTTTTTTGGGTTCGTTGTAAATGGTAATGCAATAAGATCCTAGTTGCCTACCGTATTGAGATAGCATTTCAGACTTATAGCGTCAGAAGCGGCATCAGTTTGAATTTCGGCTAGTAGGTTTTTATTTCCTGATGAAATAAAGGAATTAAGTTCAGCCTTCCAATCCTGAACAGCAGGTATGCCCAGATTGGGCCATCAAAATTTATGAGGGGGTCACTTTTTGACGAGATTTTCAATTTTTCAGTAGGATATATTTCAACGGAGTTAGGAATTTTCAAAATGAAAAGTTCCAAATTAAAATACAAAGGGAAACGTGGAACAGACGCAGTATGTGTAATTGTATATAATCTACGAGTATTTAAATTCTACTTTCGTTTGCACTGTTTTTAAGAAGAAGATAGGAATAAAATATCTGCTGGACAGGTTGATAACCTGTATGATATTAAGAACGTCAATCTAGTTTTCGGATTCTGCAATTTCTTATAATTTTTTCTGAAACAGTTTACATCTTGCAAGAATAACTGAATGTCCTATTTTTTAACAACGCGAAGTTACTAATGATGAACCTGTATTTTTTATTTATTTGTATTATACTTTTGTCCAACGTTTTAACTCGTGTTGTAACGAATCTTAAATTTTAAATCAACAAAGCGGAAGTTAAAAATCAGTTCTCCAAAATTAGAAAACTAATTTGTTGTTAAAAAAGAACAAAACTATCTACAAAGTTTATGTATTCCTTGGGTTAGACGTAATTAAATAAAAAAAAATAGTATATTTAAATGAAACGAAATATTGCAATAATGTTCTATCTAAAGTATGAATCGAGGTACTTAATCACCATTTTTTAATCTCTTTTAGCCATCGATAGATATTCCATGTTATATGATGTTGCTAGTTCTACTCACGGAAAAATTATACAAAAACTTTTTCCAACTGTGAAATAAAAGAAGCAATTTTGTATATAAAACTATACTATTATTAAAACTGCTATCTATTAATTATTATTACTATTATTGTGTGTAAATATATATTATACAGTTTAAAGAAAATATGTTTTAATAACTTCCTTCTGAATTTTTCCTTGTACAGATGGGAGATAGGAGAATATGGGAGGGACAGCGGAGATACTCGCTTGCCGAGAACGACCGGCTGCCTCCCCCATCACGGGGTATGGTTCCTTCGACCTCCGAGGACCTCCATGCATGGTCTATTTACAGGTATATCATTAAATTTTATTTATACATATATTATATGTTTTGTTTTTTTATACTGTTCCCTATGAGGTAACCCCACATGAGGATTGTTTATTTGATTCCCCTTCATGTTCCATGCCTTAAAGGCATACTACATGAATTACAATTGTTTACATGGTTTTCTTCTTTAGTTTTACATGATATAAAATTTTACTACAAAAATAATTATATATTTGCAAATAAAGATAGAAAAAACTTACAAAAAAAAAAACCACAAAAGTCGATTAAACAAAGCCACAGAAATCTCCTACACTGCCCATCACTAGTAAAAAAGTCGAAGTCAATAGATCTAATAAATTTAAGAAAGTCTGTCTTGAATTCAGTTAATAATTTTCGTTCCGTTTCAGGCTAATTGTCATTTTTGGAAACTGACTAATTATATATATATTATAATAGGTCGAATTATAAAAAAAAAAACATTGTAATATTATATAATATAGTATATACATTACTATTATATTATATATATAATCATATTATACACAAAATTCCCTGTATACTATCTTGAAGCACTGAAAGATAATTTTAAAAAGAACCAGTTTCTAGTGTGCATGCCGAATACATCGTTTATTTTCTTATGTTCTATGTTCGTAACTTCTCCGACTTCTCCCACTCTACTACCTCTTTGGCAATAGTAGTCGCGAATGATCTCAGAGCAGGGAGGTTACAGATTGTTGCGTGGTTACTTTAAACGTGTAGAATCAGTTAGTGATTGTAGCTTTTTATTTATATTGAAACTTTACTCTTGAAGGTTTAAGCAATGGCGAAAAGGACTCAGCCGAATTGGATTCTAGAAAACGGAAAACCGACGCCAGGTTTAAGGCTGTATAACAGCTTAACAAGAAAAAAGGAAGTTTTTATCCCGCTGAATGGAAACAAAGTTATGTGGTATAGTTGTGGTCCTACAGTATATGATGCTTCTCATATGGGTCATGCTAGGAGTTACATTTCCTTTGATATAATGAGAAGAGTGTTGAGTGATTATTTCGGCTATGATGTTTTGTATGTTATGAACATCACAGACATTGATGACAAAATCATAAAAAAAGCGAGAAAAGAATATTTATTCAAGAAGTATATTGACGAGAAGAAAGAAGTTGCTGGTGTTTTGGAAGATACAAAAGTAGCATTAAAACTTTTAATTGTGAAAGCTCAACAAACTACTGATGATAGTGTTAAAGAAATGCTTAATAAACTTGGCAACTCGGTAGATTCAGCTATCAAAGATCTGGAATCAGCCATTAAAGAAAGTGATAATGAGAGAATGAATAATTCTCTCGAAAAATTGTTGCAAACTGCCAAAGATCCCATTGCGGAGAAACTGGACAAAGAGTATTCTTCATCTGTTAATGAAAATTCAATTTTCACTGACCTACCAAGACACTGGGAGTCAAAATTTCATGAAGATATGGATGCTCTTAACATTTTACGACCACATGTACTGACTAGAGTGAGTGAATATGTGCCTGAAATTATTGACTATATTCAGCAAATTATCAAAAATGGAATGGCCTATGAATCTAACGGTTCTGTTTATTTTGATGTCAATGCATTTGATTCTAAAGAAAACCATACCTATGCAAAGTTAGTCCCAGAAGCTTATGGAGATGTAGGGTCTTTAGAAGATGGTGAAGGTGAATTAACTAATAACAGAGAAAAGCGATCTCCTACAGATTTTGCACTCTGGAAGGCGTCAAAGGTAGGTGAACCATGGTGGGACAGTCCGTGGGGAAAAGGGCGGCCTGGTTGGCACATTGAATGTTCTGTTATGGCTTCTGCGATTTGTGGTGATTCTTTAGATATTCACACTGGTGGTGTTGATTTGAAATTTCCACACCATGATAATGAAATAGCTCAAGCTGAAGCATATTTTGATAATAACTGTTGGGTACGTTATTTTTTACATTCAGGACATTTAACTATAGCAGGATGCAAAATGTCGAAATCTTTGAAAAACTTCATTACTATTGCTGAGGCTTTACAACAGTATACAGCTAGACAATTACGCTTTGCATTCCTGTTACATTCATGGCGTGATACCTTGGATTATAGCAAGAATACCATGGATTATGCTCTATCATATGAAAAAATGTGTAATGAATTCTTTCTTAATGTAAAAGATTTTATTAATTCTGAGCCTATAGCAAATATTTCTGATAATTTTAAAAAATGGAATGAACGAGATTTAGAATTAAATAAAGTATTTTCATTAACGAAAGAAGCTGTACATGAGGCATTATGTGATAATTTAGATACCCGCTCAGCTTTAGATAAAATAAAAGAATGTATTTCGAAATGTAACATTTATCTCAAAAATGATGATGCCAAAAGTCAGTTAATAAAATCTATATCAACCTATATCACGAAACTATTCAAAATTTTTGGTGTTATTGCAGAAAATGAACAAATTGGATTTGGTGTTTCTGAAACGTTTAATTTTACTAATGTTGAAGAGAAATTAATGCCTTACTTGAGAGTTTTTGGAGAATTTAGGGATGATGTCCGGCGCAAAGCTAAAGAAATAAATAATAAGGATATACTAGAATTCTGTGATATTCTTCGTGATACTAAACTTCCAGAATTAGGAGTTAGATTAGAAGATAGAGAAGGTAAACCAAGTGCAATAAAACTTGTTGATAAAGAAACTTTACTGAAAGAAAAACAAGAAAAGGAGCATCAAAAACAACTAAAGGAAGAATCGAAAAAAAAACAGCAAGCATTACAGGCAGAAAAGGATGCTCAGCGAAGAATTCATCCTAAGGAAATGTTTTTAAAGATGGTAGATAAATTTTCAGCTTTTGATTCTGAAGGTTTACCAACTCATGATATCGATGGTAAGGAAATCAGTAAAGGCCAACTTAAGAAACTTCAAAAACTTCAACAAGCCCAATACAAAAAACATGAAGAATTTATGTTGAATCAAAAATAATAATTTAATGACTTATCATTCTGATAACTATGTAACCTGTTAAAAGGAATTTTTTCGGAAATTATTATGCATTTCAAATTACAACCAAATTTTAACTATTGACAAATAATTGAGACACCAAATATTCTCAGATCTCTAAAGAGATATTGAGAAATATCTGAGTGTACTATAAAAAATTAAGCATTAATAATTAACAGAAGAATCAATAGATTTTAACTTTCAAATAATGTTATTCAGTATCATAAAATATTAATTTGATAAAATGAAAAAGATGATATTGCAAATCAGTGATTCTATGAAGGTATTTAAATTTAAATTACTTTTTAAACTTTTTATTATTGTATTTCAGTTTATATGTATTTATGCTTAACTATTATTTTCATTTTATTAACAGACAAAACTTGAATTCCGACTTCACTGATTCTGCATTGGGTTCAAGTGAGAAATCTCCTCTTCCATATGGTAACTTCCAGCTTAGGGAATCAACTGTTCAGTCTATTCTCAATCATCCACGCTATGGGCCAAAGTAAGAGAACCATTAATTTAATGAAAAAAATACTCTTAAACTACATATTATCTTTATATTCTCAAATAGTCTGAAATTAATTTTATGATATTAATTGAGGTTTTGTTCTATATGTAATTATTTAATGTAGTTTTTATATTACATTATTTGTTAAACCACTATTTACATTACATAATGTAAATATTGGTTTTTTAAAGGTGATTTTTAAGTTATTTGCATTTATATGAATATTATTGTTATTGGTATTTTTACTGTAAGAAAGAATTTTTCAGTAAGACTGCAAAAAATGAAATTTTACTTTCAAGGAGCTTTGTTAAGGCATATATCACTTCAATATTATTATTTTTTAGTGTTTTATGATCTCAGTATTATATTTTCATCAATCATATTATTATCTGAAACATTTTTCACTAATTATTTTTATTTATTTCAGAGATATAACTAGCTAAAGAAAATTATGAAACTGAGCTATTTATTTATTTTTTATTAATAAACCAATTGTAATGTATACTATATATTATTTTTTTATGGATATTAATTGTCAAAACATATTTTAATAAATAATAATGTATATAATTTTGTTTCCTCCTTAATATTTTCCCTTTATTCTTTTCTTTTATTATTATTGTTTAATTATAATGTTAATCAGATTAATATTTTGACTTGACTATAATATTTTTAATTTCTTAGATTTTCATCGTTAATTGCTTAATTTTCAGTATACTTCTCAAATCTATAAAATATTTTCATATTGCATCTATATTATCATTACTGCCTATTAAGATTTAATTTAATAATTAAATTGATTTGATAAGTCCGTTTTTAGATTGTAGTTGCTGTTATTCATGGCTTAGAGGCGTAAAACCCTGAGGTCATCAACGTGTGTCAGTTTTTATATTCAATTGCATTTCAGATTATTTAGATGAATCTATGTGATATGATTGCACTGAAACAAGAATGAGTTCAATGACAAATACATTTGAGTTGCCCTAACATTCTTAGCTTCTTTAGAACTGATTCTGTATGGTTTAGAGAAATTGAACTATATAGATGCCAAAGATGTTTATAAAACGTTGTGGATGTGATACAGACATCTCATAAAATGAGCATAATTCAAATCACTAAGAAACTAATTATAACCAATATTGAATTTTTTTAAGAATCATTTTGGAAATAAAATAATATAAACAGGGCCATATTTCATCACTATGGATTGATTCCATAAATTTTAAATGGAATATTCTTTTTTTTTTTTAATTCATATAAAATATATGTATAACCAAAAAAGAAACTGATATCTGAATAAACTTATAATAATTAATGTTAAATCAATATCACAACCATGTACTCCATAAAATTAGTGTTCAAAATATTCCGTGTTGACTTCAATTTGCTTGTTTTTTTCTCTATTTGCTTCAAGTTTTTTTATTCTCCATACATTAAAGTTTGAATGAAGAAAGAAATTAGATTTTTATAAAATAGTACCAATAATTTTAACATTTTTATTAAATCCTGATTAATTATAATGGTCTTAAATCAAAATTGTTAGAACGGTTAATTTATCAAATTAACATTCATGTACAGCTTTCTGGAATTTATAAAAACAAAACATTGAAACTCGAGGTTTAATATCTGTAACTACATACTTCTTATTTAAATATGGAATGATGGGAAGAACAAGTATTTTGTACCATTATACTGTGATGAATGTAGATATTTTTAATTGAATGACTTTATTGTAAAAAAAAAAAAAAAGAATAGAAAAGATTACTTCAATCAGATGAAAATTTGTTTGTTTTATTTAATTAATTGTATTAATATACAATAATAATTTATTAATGAGCTTAAGGATAGAACAACAAAGATATATTGTTTTCATGAGTGTCGGATATTTTTATATTTGATTGATCCTTAGAAACAATAAACAAGGTGATAGAAATTGATAAAAATAAATACTTGTTTAAGGAAGGAGGTGGTCCAGGGTGGCAGTCATGAATAGACTAAATAGTGGCAAAACTATTTTATTAAACTTACTCTGTTTATATTTTAATGTACTTACGTTTTATAATTTTAATAAGTTTATTCACATTGTTTTATAATTTTTTGTCTAAATATTATGTAACTTCCACAATTCTCTATATCTTTTTGTATCTTTTCCGTTCTAGTCCTGAAGAAGACCTGCAAAGTCGGATCGAAACATTGACTTTTAATAAAATAGTTTGGCCACTATTTAGTCTATTTATGCCCGCCACCCCAGGCCATCTCCTTCCTTAATAATACAATGGTCAACTATTAATTACTCAACATACTTTTTTAAAATTAGAAATAAAAGTTTTTTGTTTGAGCCCTCAAAAATAAATCCTTACAAGGGAATTTTTTATGGGGCCTCAAAAATAAATCTGCCCCAGATATAGGTACACTACATCTAATGAATGCTTAAAAATGAATAAGGATATTGTTAGTTATTTATGATTTATTTTTCCTATAATTTTCATTGAAAATTAATTCAAATAAGATTGTATTTGACCTCAGGAAATTGTATAAAAGGTGTTTTAAAAAAATGTTAAATTTAATGATTTGTGTAATATCCTTTGTTACATACTGTTTAAAACGTTTTCACGGATTTTGCAAGAAATTTCATCCCATAATCATGGTAATACTGCTCTCAGTTGTTGAAGGTTAAGAGGTTGCAAATTGTGGTCAAATAGCCTTCTGTGCAGTGCATCTCACATGTGCCCAGTGGGGTGGTTGCGAAACGCCCAGATTTTCAAGACATTGATGGACAACTTTTCCCCTATGAGATCGCTTATTTTCATCAAGAAAATGGAAATCTGGGTCAATAAAGGCTCCGGTTTAAGGGATGCACTTCTCTATAATTTCTTGAATATAACAACCTGGAGTGAGATTGCAGTCCACAATATCGAGTAGGGTCCTTCCTCCTCAGTAGATGCCAGTCCAATAGCCTTCAACATTGCAGGGAGTAAACACTGTGGTACTGTATTCAATATACTGTTCAACACCTAATATTGCTGTGAATATAGAAACATTGTGCTATAATCTGCGGAGTTGCTTGTGAGGCACTGTTGCTACAGATCATTTTAAAGGGGCATAAAATGTTTGATCAATTTTCCACAAACGACTGTAATGGTTTTTGTTGATATGGACTTTGGCAGAACATTCGATGCTACCTTTTTTTTAGGCTATGTCAGCAACTTTGAAAACGGTTGCTTCTTGCAGTAATAATATTTATATCCTCTTCTGTTGTCATTATGTGCTTAGATCCACTAGCAGGTTTCCTATTGGTACTTTTGGTTAATCTGAATCTGGCTAAAGCCCAGGTGCCTACAGAGGAGATGCCAACTGTATTGACAATATCTACTTGCCGCTATCCTTGATCGCTCATACTCACGATAAGATTGGCAACTTCTGGTTCAATTAATGTCTTTCCATTATTATACAATATTACTGGATTCAAATTGAGAAAAATCAAAAACAACTGTTGGTCTGCTCAATGAGTATTCTTTAGTTAATAATTTATTAAAAATAAAGAATACTCATTGTTTACTTTATATGTTTACTGACAAATAAGATAATCCCTAACAAACAGACAAAACAATAGGGTATTTTAATTAAAATGAATAGAATAAGAATCAATCAGAAATATCCTTATTCATTTTTGAGCTGTTTATATTAGTATTCTCATACAAGTAGGTAGTATTTTTATGCTGTTAATACTATTTAAAAATTATCTTCCCAAGAATCATTAAATTTATATATTTGATCTTCTGTAATTTTTGAAGTGTTGGTGTATTAATCAAGATCTTGGCATAAAAACTTCCAATAGATGTATGCAAATATTCTTTTTTTGACATTTTGGGAAATCTTTCTCATCATCAGAACTTTTTACATTCACTAGTTACTAAATTTACATAACAAGCATTGTAACAACATTTATTCATTTTTAATAATGTTTTTATTCTAGCTATTGAAAAAGTTCTGAAGAGGGGAAAGGTTTCCCAAAACGTCAACAATATGAAAATGTAACAAATACAATATTTACCTGCATCAATTGGAAATTTGTATTGCCAATATCTTAATTAAATTTATTTTTAACCTCCAGCTTATTTGAACAGCTTATTATGAGAAAGAAGTATAAATATTTTTAGCAGATAATAAATTATTTATATTTTCGTTAATGGTATTCCAAAGACTGACATTTCTTTTGATGAAACATGTGGATCAACAAAAATATATGATGATTAGATGTAATATTTCTTAAATTTGAATGAATTTTCCTCTAGAAATTTTGATATGAAATTATTTAAAGATTGGAGAAGTGATATCAGAAAATCTTAATAATTTTAACATTATTTTAAAAGTTTATGCTGTGTTTCTTAATACTTAATAGAAGTTATAAATTTTTAATTTATAAATATTTCTAATCAGGTCACCATTGGGAGCTAATATGTATACATATCTGAAGTTTGGTCTTCCTAGAGTCTTTCCTCCTAATGGAAAGAAGGAAACGTCCAGTGGATATGACTCCAGTGAAGAAGGAACCCGGAGAGAAATGGATGCCCAACACCTTAGGTCTCGTAGTGTAGCAGATTTTAATAGTCTTCATCATCTTCACCATCAGGTAATTCTGATAATATTTATTTGATATTTTTTTAAAATATAGACGCTATAAATTAATTTGAAAATTAGTTCCCCCAGGTATGTGAATGTTAATAAATTATATATTTTACTTTGTTAAAAATTATTCTTTTTATTTGATGATTGCCTATTTTTCTCAATATAAGCCATATATCCCTGCATACGATTTTATTATGCATGCAGATTTTATTTTTGTTAAAGAAATCTTGTCTGGTTATCATTTTAATATAATTATCTATCTGTCTTGATAGAATAAACTAAAAAATATATATATTTTTATAAAAAAAGACTATCTTAGTTGGTTCCTGATTATTATAAAATAAATTAACCTATGAATTTTATAACTGTTTTTTAAACTTTAATCTTTCTTTGAACATAAAATATGTTTCAGATGACATTGGTCATCAATAAATATTCTTCAAATTATTATTTATCAACTTTGGTAACATACGAGACATAAAACAGATTGTATGTATGTTTATGATGTTATTTCTTGTTAAGATGTTTTGAAAGATTAAAGCGTGGCACATAAGCTTTATGAAAATACTTTTTCAGATATTTTTCATTAATTCCTTTTACAGGGACACGGGTTGGTTAGCGGTGGCCGAGGTAAAAGTCTTTCCCAGGCTAACCTTCTCTCTCCAGAGACTGCTTTGCATCGTGCTCAAGCAGCTCACCGAGCCTCACTCCATGACCTTAGGAGAGACCATTATCATCATCATTCTCTTCATCACTTACCTCCTCATCCCCCACCTCCAAACCATCATACACCATTACATCAACCACGGTATATATTAATTTATTTTTAAAAATCTGTTGTGTTAATAGACTGACTAGGTTTATTAGTTACATTAGTAACAGATACTTTTTTTTTTTATTAATATAAGTCAAATCTAAACAACAAGGCTTGTAAGCTC